GATAGAGTCTGCCTCCATATTAAGTTCCCTAGGGATCCATTGGATGTGAAGGTCAATATTGTTCTCAAAACAAAACGAAAAAACGTCTAAGGCAAGTTCATGTAAAGAAATCTTCATGCTTCCAATATCTACTATTCTAGCAGTAGCCTGATGATCCGTGTACCATTTCACACACGAATCTCGCAACAAGTGACCAAAAGCTTTGAAACTATAAGTTATAGCAATCAGTTCTCTGTGAGTGGAACTCAAACATTTCTCTTCGTCTGTAAAGGGTCTATGAGCAGTTTCACCTGAGGCAATTAGAGCGCCACAAGCCCTGTTGCTTGCATCTGAGTATACAACCTTATGGTATTTATTCACATGAGCGACGTTCTTAGAATTTAAACTTGAAAGGTTAGATTTCCAAAAAAAGAATTTCTTTCCGACAATACTGGTCGAGGATAAAAGTCTCATCCCAAGACGAGCTAGACGCTATAGTAATTTGGCAATGTCTAGTTATGATTCGAGCTAAACGCCCCAAAACAGCTCCCATAGAGATAATGGATCCGACGAATGTAGGAAGTTGGCGCGCGGAAACCATCCCACTAGTCAATAAATTGTCGATGATTGAAAATGCTTTGATGATTCTTGCAGGCTTAACAGAGATGGAGCCATTAATAAACTCCCATGAAATACCCAACCAGATAATTTCCTGGACAGGGGACCAGATGCTTTTTTCGTAATTGATAACAAAGCCTGCGGCATTTAGGTCGTCTTTCATGCATTGCGAGGCTTGTTGAGCCAGTTTGAAAGAATTTTCAATAGCAAGACCATCGTCCAAATAAACGACACAATGGATTCCATTTCSTCTCCATAATTTAACTAATGGTYTCAAGAGTTTTGTAAAAATATATGGGGCGGTTGATAGACCAAAAGGTAGCACATTGAAATAAAAGTATCGAGTTTTTCCGTCGGGAAACGCCCACGAAAAACCCAGGAAAGTTCTATGCTGAGAAAAAATGTCRACATGATGATATCCGCTTTTCAAGTCAAAATTAATGGCAAATCCTCCTTTAACTGAAGTATTCCAATGCATTCTTATAATCTTCATACTTAAACTTGTATTTTATAAGGTGTTGATTGATAATCCTGAGATCCAAAATGAGCCTCTTTTTGCCAGAAGGTTGGACAGAAACTGACAACGGATTGATGTTGTTTAGATTGTCTTTAGAGGTCTCAGAAATACGCCCACCTTGTAAAAGTTCCAAAATAGCGAATGATCAATTGCAGAACRATTGTTTTCAACGTGAGACTTGACAGGGGTGGTTAAAAAAGGTATCTTGTAACCTTCGRGAATAGTAGAAACAACGTAATCTGGGGCGCCAATAGTCCACYTCGCGGATAACACAGCTATTAGAAATTGAGCAAATATCGAAAAAYTATTACCACCACTGGAAAGAACAGTATGAAATTAGTATGTTTACCAGGTTTGAGCATGATTCGATGAAAAGTCAAGGAGAAACAGCGTTTAAAAGTCGGCAAAATTTACAAAGAAATGTATGGCTGCCGGCATGAGACCGAGGTTGACCTTGACTTGTTACAACCTSGCCAAACATTTCTATGCAAAATTTAGTGTTTTTGAAGTGCCGTATCTCTTTGAATTTAAATCAGATTGTTTTCAAACTTGGCAAATTTGCTGATTTTATSACGCTCTTTCCAGTGATGTCAATGATTTACCATAACGACGTAATGTAAAATTTTG